GCAGTTGTGGCGTGTGGCAGGAATGTTCCTAGAATCATGTGTTGGGCTGGAAGGGGCGCTTAAAGGTCATCTAGTTGAACCCCCTGTAGTGAGCAGGGACATCTTTAACCAGATCAGGTTGCTCAGAGCCCTGTCAGGCCTGACCTTGAATGGCTCCAGGGATGGGGCCTCCACTACCACTCTGGGCAACCTCTTCCAGTGTTTCACTGCTCTCATAATAAAGAACGTCTTCCTAACATCTAATCTAAATCTACCCTGCTCAGGTTTAAAACCATTGTCCCTTGTCCTGTCGCTACACACCCTTACAAACAGTCCCTCCCCAGCTTTCCTGTAGGCCTCTTCAGGTACTGGAAGACTGCTATAAAGTGTTCCCAGAGCCTTCTCTTCTCCAGGCTGAACAACCCCATCTCTCTCAGCCTGACTTCGTAGGAGGAGTGCTCCAGCACTTTTATCATGATTGTGGCCCTCCTCTGGCCTTGCTCTAATGGGTCCATGTCCTTGTGTTGGGGGCTTCAGAGCTGGTTGCAGAACTCCAGGTGGGGTTTCACCAGAGCAGAGCAGAGGGACAGAATCACCTTTTTCGATCTGCTGACCACATTTAGATTAGATGTGAGGAAGAAGTTAATCATGAGGTTGGTGAGACACTGGAGCAGGTTGCCCAGTGAAGTTGTGGATGTCCCTTTCCTGGAAGCATTCAAAGCCAAGCTGGATGGAGCTTTGAGCAACTTGGTCTAATGGGAGCCCATGGTGATATTTAAGGTCCCTTCTGAGGCAAACAAGTCTGTGGTTTATGTCACACATCATTAGTGAAGAGGAATAGATTCAAGTCAGTGTTACTTGGCTATATAATTCCGAGTTAAAGCTTTTTCAGATCTCAAAGTAGTAATACTTACAGATAGCTTAATTAGAAAGCAACTAGTAAAACTCAATATTTCCCTTTAGGATGACTGATCTCATTAAAAAATTAGAAGGAAACTAGACCTGATATTCTGCTTCTTTTCAGCCACTGGAGATTATGTTCACTTTTTGTGGTAAAAGATAAATGACGGATTTAGTTCATGAAGGTATTGAACTGTGAAATTATATTTTGTCAACTTGTTTTGTCAACTTGTTTCCTAAATGGGACAAATTTTATAGGAAATTTGTCACTTGCTATTTGTAGTGCAGATTCTGTGTGTTCTCCATTTATAGTATAGGTTTGGTTAGGTTTTATTTGTTGTATTTTTTTAGTGATCAGTGAAGATGTTCTTTGTGAACAGTGGGCTATGTGGCATGTTTTTGGAAAGAATTGCTGTATAATGAAGGCAGAGTATAGCAACTCAGTGAGTATTGTAAAATGCTGTGAAAAAAGCCAGAATTTAAGGTGGAATCATATTTTTAAATAAAGATGGAATATTAGAGAAGAGTAAATTAGCTGATTTTCAGTAAGATATACAGCAATTCTTGAAAGTATGGACTTCATAATTTTATTTTCCTGGTTATTCCTGATGGCCAGTGTTCTAACTGTGGTTTCTTGTCATTCTGGGATTTCTTTGTATTAACTAACAAGGAAGAGATCAAATCTGATCAGGCAAGCACTGTGGTTGCTTAACTTTGATATACGATTAAATCTCTCCTATTTTAAGGTGAGATTACACTGAGTAAATAGCCTTATTCTTACCCCTGTTGATTAATGATCTATATTTACACAAATCTAATAGTAGCTTTAATGCACCATGTCAAATGTTATGTAATTCTAAATTGGAAATGTGTATAAAACAATAGCACTAAAATTAGAAGACTCTATCACTTAATTTTATTGCCACAAGAGGATAGACTTTTACTGATAAATAGAGGTGAACAGAAGGTGATGCACTCGCTGGTGAATTTGGCATATCTGCATTTTACAGAGAGTGCTGGTAAACATGAGGTGAGCCTAGCATTTGGAAGGGTGTTTGCTCCATCATAAGGAAGAATGTCTGCAAAATTACTTTTGTGTGTGTGTGTGTGTGTGTGTGTCTCGTGTGATTTATTGAAAGTTTGATCATAAAATTATTTCCATGCTTGGAACAGGTATGCACTTTACTTATTATACTGTTGTGTTCTATATTGTTTTTCATGTTTTTTGTTTTAAATTTAAGAGTACTTAAGGATTATTTTATTTGTTGTTTGTAACTAGTTTTTCTAAGGCCTGTCTGAAATCACTCAACTAATCATAAGAGACTTTTCCATGTTCATGCAGTCCTCAGTGAATGATTAAAATGATAGAATCTGCTGTAATTTATAATCATATTTACTTTTCTACTCTGTCAATTATAAGTATTTTCTAGCCAAGTGTAAAATGACTATTTTAAAAGCAGTGCTTTTTAACTGTAGTACTTTTAAAATGGTATCTTGGCTTAACTAAATATAAATTGCAAAAGCAGATTGATTTTCCAATAATTTTTTCTGTAAGAAGTTTTATTTTTAACTGTTGCTCTTTTAGTTGTGACAGTAAAGCTTTGCTTCACGAGTCAAAATATGTTTTAGTTAGTGAAAACGTTGCTACACTGTCAGTGACATGATGAAGCATATAACAAAATTTTTTTTGTACCTCTGAAGTCAGTTCTCACCATCCTTGCTCATTTCAAACATCCTTAGATTGTTGGATACTTAGTATAAATGGTTTGCTTAATTTATAAAATAAGAAAATGACACATGGCTACTGACTAAGCAGCACTTCTTTAATCCCACCTCAACTCGAACACTTTGCATTATTTTTCTTTCTTTGGTTTGGTTTGGCCAGCAAACCAAACTACTGTAAGTAACAAAGGTGAAGTGACCTGAAAGTACGTGGTCCATGGGGCGCAGAGGAAAAGCAAGTAATATGTGAAAGAGAGGAGAGGGGAATCCGAGGGTGTGGTTGTGCGGGTGCTTGGGGTCATCAGTGTAGCCTCGGCCCTTTCCTGTGCTGGGGAGTTGTGTGTGCCCAGGAGTCATTTTTAGTGTCAAGGCCAAGTAATATGTTTGGCCCACTTTAATGCTGTCAAACTCTTTTAGCCCCAAATCAGAGTGGCCAAGTGTAAACTGACAAATAGTGATAATCCATACTAAGTCCTAAGGCGTACCCAGGAATTGCTTGGGTGGGCCAGGTGGCTTGGGCCAAAATGGTACCAAGGGTAACGCAACTGCATAGCCTGACAGTATTTAATGCTATGTCCTAATTTATTAGGACAGGTGTAATCTGGGTGTCCAGTGCTTGTGAGTTAGTGGTGTCTACCAGGAGGTGTTACTCAGGGAGGACTTGGAGCTATTGCCTGATGGACAGTTGAGGAGGTAGGTATGCTAATTCATTGCCTGGAAGGCCAAGGGGAACGTAACATGTTCATAGAAAACTAGGTTTCATTAGTTCCACTGTTTACAAAACAGCTTTTTGTATTAAAGTTTTTTTGTAAAACACTCTGAATTTTCTTGATTAAAAGATAACGCCATGTAATATTTTTAGATGCCTTCAGGCTTTGTTTGGATTGCATTTGTAGGCTTTTCTCCACAACCAGGGGGGCCTAACATTTTTTCTTTACAGAAATGAATTTCATGTAATTACTTGTCTGGTCTGCTGTATGTAAAATTCAAATACGTTATGTAAACATAAATATTTAGAGATTTGTAGTAAAGTTACATTTGCTGGCAGACACTAACCTTTGCATTGAAAACTACCAACTGGCTACAGCGTAACTTCCTTCATGATGCTGACAGGATAGAAACCTGGTTAGAAAGCCTTTAATATAAATGGCTTCATGGGTCATGATTATTTAAATAAACTGTAGGTTTTTTTAGAAAACTGGAGAACTGAAATTTTTGGCTATTGCCCAGGAATATATAGCTAGTTAAATTGGTGTAGAGTTGTTTTTTATTTACCCTCTAATAACAAGTGTCAGATGGATGCTGAGAATCCTGAGCCGAGACTTGACGGCAAAGTACTTCTAATAATTTAGGGATATAGTTTAAAAATAAATATTTGCGTTAAAGACCTGTATTCATCGTTGATATTAATTAGCATGCATTCAGTTGTTAGCTTCAAGTCTATGGACCAGTTATGTTAATGAAAGTTGTTAATTACTTTACATAGAATGGTGAATTCTGAGGAAGAAGCAGCTGTTGTGTTGAGCCACTTCTAACTGAGGACTGAAAATGCCAGCAGGTGAGAATACTTTGTGTTTGATTTCCAATACATATTTTGTAGTCAGGACTAGATGTAAATAAGTTACTTATGTCTATAAATTTTTAATGCTTCATTGGCTCTGTTTTGAGTCCATGTTTATAGCTGATTTTCAAAGTGATGTTGTTTTGTGGTTTGGTTTTTTTCTTTTTTTTCTTTTAAATCTGGGGGCTTTTGTAAAAATTGTAATGACAGTGGTAAATATGCTGTAGCTGAGGATTCAACAGCTTTTTTTCAATGGTGTGCCAGATTGCATCTTTAATTCTTCAGCTACAAATTAAGCAGTATCTCAGGGGGGCTCGAACACCTACTGCTTCAAGGGTTGAAATGCTGCTGATTGCAGAATCATGATTCATAGAAAGGCAGGGACTCTGAGCTCCAGCTGATTTTGGATCCGCTCATGCTGTGGCCTCATAGAGATCTGTCTCAGGGTAGTGCTCCTCTGGGTTCCAGAGTCAGGAAGAACTTGGAGCTGCTCCTTGTCCTGGAGACTGTCACCTCTGCTATCAGCATGCTACTGTCCATAAACAGCGAGGCTAATAGTCTATCCTCTGCTTTGGCTAGCCCAGATTTTGTACTGATCCTGAAGTGTGTGCTCTTCAAAATATGCTTCCTTCAGGAAACAGTAGACTGTGCCGACTTCAGCAACAAGTAATAGCCTGGTGTGTTTTTACAGCGTTGCTGAGTTACCCTTGGGTGGTTTACATTGTCAGTGGAAATTCTTAACTGAATACTAAGCGAATTTCTCGGCAAACTTTCTCATATAAAATAATTCTTGTCCTTTGCAATTTTAAAGCATGATTGCGCCTTTCTTTTTTAGTCTATAATGATAATTAAGCGAGAGAATCATACTCTAGATTTCTTTCTGCAGTTGAAAGTGAGGCAAAGGCAAAAACCAAAGTCCGCTTTGAGGAAATCTGGAGACAGCATGCTAGTATAACAGACACAAAGAAGTCAAAAAAAAAGAAGTTTCACGCTCAAGAGAATATTGTGGTGAGTTTGAATACATGTGAGCTTTGTTTGGTTGTTTAATTGAAAATGGATCAGGAAAATGTACCGTAAAAAATAAAGTATTCTGCACATATCCTTTCTTTTCGATGTGACTTTTATTGTTTGTGTATCAAATATGCATCCTTGTAATTTGGAGGTATGGCAAAATTATGTAGCATATAATACTGTTAAAAAGAAGGTGGCACGTGTAGGCACGCGCTCATTTGAAGTTTACCAGTATTTCTTTTCCATTCACATTTTTTTGTAAAGTTTTAAGATTTTCAAATTCAGTTCTGACTTCAGTGAGAGTTTGAATGATGGTATAGTAGAATTATGGCTGTAAAATTATTTAATTTTGAGAGTACTAGATCTGTGTAATACAGGTACATGTATGTAATACATCAGTTAATTGAGATCTGATGAAAAAATATAATAATATTAGAGATAATTATTTACTTTGTTCCATTTTCTGAAAATTACTGGTGTAAGAATAACAATTTACAAACAACATTAAATAACATTTGAAACTTTTTTTTTCCAATTTGGTTTCAGTAACCAACATATTTCTGCACGTGCTGAGCTTTGTGTCTGAGTGGTCCTATGTTTCCACACTTAGGCAGCACACACGTATAAAGATTTCTTTTAAAGCTTATGGCCTTAGCTTGTGACTTGCAGATTAGGAGTGATTCTATCACCCAGACCTTTTGGTTAGATGGCTTTTTTGTTTGTGGCATGTCACTAAAAGAGCCTCAGAGATTCCTCTGAGTTATGGTTCATATTGTAGCTTTTTTCCTGAACAGAAGAATAAATGTTTAATATGAGTCCCATATATGCCAGTTATTGATTTACAGTGTTTGGAATCAGAAGAAAGCAATTAGCTTAAAAGACAAATGTTATGGGTTTTTTTAGTTTCCTCCTCTTAGGTTTTATATTTTCAGTCTTTCTTCTTACAATTTTATCCATACTAGATGCTGGAAGTGAATGTTCATTCCTTAATACTAATTTAAGACAAAGGAATGGCATTTTATATAATATCAGAATGTGACATGTATTTATTATATATATTTGGAATAGCTATATTAAACTTAATGACGTTATGCTGAAAACATAATTTTGTCTTGGATAATTTGAAGATGGTATTTGTGTGTATTTTTTAATTTTGCATTCATTGAAGTATAGGATACTTAATAGTCTATACAAAGAATCAACATTATGTCTAAAACAGCATAGAAGAGTTAGAGGGTGGGCTTTTGCAATTTTTTGCTGGCTTATGTGTAAATACAAGACTAAATTCTTCCTTGATTAGGTTTACTTTTTTGATGGAACGTGATTTTTTAAATCTGCACTTTATAAGTATTCTTGAGCACGTAATTGTATGTTCCCAGGCAACTCTATATTACTCAAACATTTTAAGCTTACTTTGTTTCTAAAAATGGTTTCCACTCCAGAAGTCTCTGATGTAAAACATGAATCATCTGGATTTACCTGTAAACACTTGAAATCACGGTGACTCGAATCACCTAAATCAGTGGTCTATACACAAATTAAGAAGCATTTTTAGGATCATTGTGGAAGCCTGACTTTCTGGTTTTGTTGAAGTCACAGATTTTTACCACTCAAGCAGAAAAAAAACTTAAGACCTTGAGGAAAATGCGTATGGGCACTTAATATGGCCATTTCCTTGGGGTGTGACAAAGTTGCAAGAGTTCGGGTTGGTGTTTTCCATGCTGGTTGCACTCAAGTAGAACCTTCTGTAAAAGCTTCAGCAAATAACCAGTCATTTCTCTGTAAGGAAGAAATGTGTGTGGGAGGGGAAAAGGAGGTAGGTGCAGGAGGGTGGCTGGTTTTGTTGCAGTTTTCTTCACTTCGTATAATTTAACTATATGGAGTTTCACATATCTTGAAATAATGTAAAATTTATTGGTAATAGTTGTTTTCATGTCATGCACTTGTCATAAATGATCTCTCAGGTTTGATCAGAAACAAGTCATGGGTCAGAGCATATTTCCGCTGGAAGTGTTCCAGTCTGCTTCTTTCTTTTATCTTTACTGAACCTAGCCTTGCTTAGATTAATAAAACCTTTCTGTCACAGTCCACTGTTACCTTGCAGCCTGAGTTCTGGAGCTGCAGGAGGTTGCTGTGATTTTGAGCAGCAGAAGTGAGGGTGAGGAGATTGTCTGCCTGCTTGCCTGCACTGCTCCCTGTGCCCTTTGCCTGTAGAGAAGGGAAGCAGCCTCATGAGAAGAGCAAAGCCTGATGTCAGTGGGGCAGGAGGAGTTTGAAATCATAACCGATGGGAATGAGAGGCTCGTAATGGATGTGGAGATTGACAACAGTTATTCGATAGCCGCAGGTGTAGCGGGTATGAGGCCTGAAGGCAAGGCTGAAAAACCAGGTAATTTGGAGACAGTCAGAAAGTCAATTTCCTGGTATCCTTTGAAGGGCTGACAGTCACCACATTCATTTTTTACCAGTTGTGTCTCCTATTAGAAGTTAGAATGAGGCAAGCTTCAGACCATGCAATGCCCACATTGGTTTGCACAGATAGATTTATCTGTCTAAAGTCATCATGAAAATGGGTGAGTTTATTTGGTTCAATCTAAATTTCATGGTAAAGAGAATGTTTAAGTCACAAAATGTTGGTGAAGTTTTCTGCCAAGTTAAAAGCAAGATCACTTTATGGAGGCAAGAATTTCTTCCTTATTCTGATCAGCTTACTATACTGGAGTGGGCACAGGCAGGTAACTGAGGTTTTTGTATTGAAGGCAGTAGTGCAACAGATTTATCCATTTGAAGTTTGTTGGTTTTTTTTCCTACCTCACTGAGTCTGCTCCTTCCCTTTCTTTATAAGGCCCTGGATGACAGGCTGGAGTCTGGAGTTTCATGAGGGTACAGGTAATAGGAGACTATCTCCAGGCTTGAAAATTCTTGTATTATTTTGGGTAAGATGAGTGTTTCACAGGTTTCTTCTGACTAATTCAGTACTTTAGCTTCTGTCTTAGGTGTAAAACACAACCTGTGGAGCTTTCAGTTTGTAGAATTTTTCCAGCGTCTGTTTCATAGCCCTTCTTTTTCTTGCATAAGCTGACAGGCACTGAATAATTGCTGAGATTTCCACTGAGTTTTAGCCCTTTGTTTCTTATATTTAAAATAGTTGACTGTATATTTGACCTGCACATTGTCCAATATTTTCTGTTAAAATTTGGCGAAACTTCTCCAAGTCCATCCTAAATGCAAAATAGTTCTAGCTTTGAGCATCTACATTTTATACTCTTACATGAGCAATGATAAGAGCAATGGCAGTAAAACTGGCTCCCTACTGCATTAAATTTTTGTTAATATCCCACCCAGCCAATTCAGCTGTAAATAAATGGCCTTTTACAAGCAGCAATACCAGCCCTTCAGTGATGTCCATTCCTAATTTTTCAGGGTGTGCCTGTATTATAGGAAGAAGTTCAGGGACATCTGTAAATTTAGTTATCTGAGTTTCCACATACCCTGTGCAAAATCACTTGCTGCATTTCCAGGTTCCACTCGCATGTATTTGAGAAGCTCTTTTAAAAAAGGAGTAAGATTATTAGGCATTTTCCCCGCTGTCAGCCCTGGAACACGTACGACAAGTGACATGACCTGGGTCGTCTCGCTGTCGTCCGAGCCTCATGTATCTGTAAATTTAGTTATCTGAGTTTCCACATACCCTGTGCAAAATCACTTGCTGCATTTCCAGGTTCCACTCGCATGTATTTGAGAAGCTCTTTTAAAAAAGGAGTAAGATTATTAGGCATTTTCCCCGCTGTCAGCCCTGGAACACGTACGACAAGTGACATGACCTGGGTCGTCTCGCTGTCGTCCGAGCCTCATGTGTGAGCCGACCCGTGTGTGTCTCGGTCGGCTGGTGCCTCCCTCTCTGTCCCAGCCAGCCAGTCGTGTGAGCTGGGCTCTGTTCTCAGGAAAAAGCATTTGCTCTGCCCTAGTCTCCTAATGTGGCCATGGAGCTGTTTTTGAAAAGAAGTGCCTCCTCATTTGTTCTGTGCTTTTAAGCTCAGGAGGTCAGGTTCGGGTCAGCAACCCACTGGAGTTACTTCAGAGACAGGCCTGTCCTCCAAGCTGGAGCTGCATTTCCAGCCTAACTGCTTTTTCTAATTCAGTTCAAGGGTGTTTATAGAGATGATTGCGCTTAGTTGATCTCTCTGTCCTGCATTTCGGACAGTACCCCTCCCTCTGCCTGAGACCTAACTTGATGGTTTTTTATGAACCTCTTGGCTTTTACTTCCATCGTTTTTTGACTCCCTCCCATCTTTCCTCTCTGTTTAATTGCATGTGGAAGAAATGGCCTGAATTAGGATCATACAGGCAATGTATCTGAAGAATTCATATTTAAACTGCTGAAGCAGCTTTATGCTGTCTGCAGTATCGTGTTCTGGGGTTTTGCTGTAGTTTGAGATAGTGTTTTATTTCTTTATGGTAATACCCTGTTTTGTTGATTTTTTTCCTATAAGTAAATCTGCTATAATTAAATGACTGTGTGCTGCTACTATTCGTGACACATGTTTGTGTTTGTATGTTTTGGTAGGTATAATAAAAAGTTCTAGTAAATATTTCAAGTTTTTGTAACAGCTAGGTTTCTTTGAGGAAATTAATATCAGTTATTTTAGAAACTCTTGAACAGGTCAAAGACAAGGGCTTTTTGTTTAGGATTTCTCAAACATTTATATTTCTTGGGCTTAACAATTGAATGCTCTGTCAAAGGTAAAAATCAACATGGCCTTAGCTATTGGTCAGTGTTGGATCTTAATAGCCAGTGTTTTTTAACTTTCATTCTTTATACTCTGCAGTTAAAGCTATTTGTAGAAATGCAGCTAAGGTGGACAATCTAATAGGAAGCATTATTTAGTTTATACAAAGCTTGTTGCTTTAGTTATTTTTTTAAAAAAAATCTTGCTCTCTTCTATGTTTCAAGTTATTTATATGAAATCTTCCACATCCTCTTAAATCATTGACTTATGAATAAAGAGGATGTTACTTGTCTATTTAAGCAAGTAAAAGGTAAAGTTACAAAGACAAGTTTTTTTATGATTTGATACTGAGATAATTTGGACTATATTTAGCATCCTATGTCTAAAAATAAAGACACCTACTGAAAAGATACATGAACAACTTTAAATTTTTCTGATGTGTTAGATAATCATACTTGCATGTAATTCTAGGCGCTTTCTTTTTTAACTCGTACTTTATTAGGACAGTGTTTTTTAATATGTAGCTCTAGTAAGTTTAGTTAGTGCATTTTTAAGCTTTGTCTCTATTTTCAGACATCAGCTTTCATTTCTGTCTTAAACTTTGTCTTGGCATATTTTTCTTGTCACATGGACAGTTTTCCTGTACAAATAGTAAGATGTACTTCAAAAGTTCCTTTCTTTTTTCTTCTTTCTCCTTCAACACTTACAATACTTTCCTTGCTCTCCATATTCTGTCTTCACGTGTCAAATGTGAATAAACCAAGATAGTGATGCAGGTTTGTAGGCTCACATAATTGAGGGCAGGCAATATGGAGACAAATGACTTGCACACTGAGTGTTTTTGGAGTGTTATTCTTGCAGGTGGACAGTCTTAAGTCAGGATCCATCCTCCAAATCATGGTTGCTGTTGCAACTTCATTCTGTTTTTTAAAATGTTTGAGGCAAACGTGATCCTGTAACAGGGAGAAGTATCCCAGCTGGAAGGGAAGATGTCTGTGTTTATGGAGGGAGGAAGATGGCCTTAGCAAAGAAGCAATTGTCTGCAGATACTTACATTCTCACCAACATTTTCTTTGGTTGGATTTCTTTGTACTTTAAAGTTCTTTCTCATGTTTCATGTGGCGAGTCCAGAGAGTTTTATGTAAGACAATAGAGTAAATGAACCTCAGCGACTTTATTATAGAGCAGAGATCTGTATGTTGAACTCCTTACAGAATCAGGCCTTAGTTACTATCTGTGCTGTTTGGAGTTACCATAGGAGCAATAATGTTTTGGGTTGGAAGGGACCTTTAAAGGTCTTTTAGTCCAAGCCCCCTCTGCAATGAGCTGGGACATCTTTAACTAGATCAGGTTGCTCAGAGATGGGTCCAGCCTGGCCTTGAATGTTTCCACAGATGAAGTGATATAACTTTTAGTAACCAGGAATAGAAACCTGAAAGAGGGAGTAAAGTTTACAATGTGTTTAAAAAAACCCCACAAAATACCTCCCAAAAACAACCCCAAAAAATCCTGGAAAATTGGCGGGAGTGCAGAGAATGCATTAACTGAAATTTATCTTAGCTGGTTTTGTTAGACTAGTCTTTAGATCAACCCTTTTCATTCCACTAAGAATAATGTGGTTTGGGTTTGGGGTTTTTTGTGTGGTTTTGGTTGTTTGTTGTTTTTTTAAAAGTCTTAGTGGGCATCTTTTTCTCAGTTTTAGCACTTTTTAATATAATTTCATTGCCAAACTTCAGCAACCAGCTTTCAGTTAAAGAGACTACAAACATCTAAGCCTGTAGCAAATCTCAGTTTGCATTTTAAATGGATTAAAATACTGATTTTTGTGATGCATATGATCTCCAAGTCTTCCTTAGTCTAAACCATTGGCATCTGTTTACAGAATAGACTTGTTGATTTCTTTTTTTACTGCATATACATATAAGTCATTTAAAAACATAGCAAAACAAAATTGAGGATGAAGTGCCCAAACACAATATGTTTTTTTCAATATGAATTTTCTGTTGCCTTTCAATCTGCCACTTGTGAATTTTAAACAAGAGAAAAACTAAATCTTTGATTTCGTTTTACTTTGTGTAATCTTACTAAAGAAATAACATAAAATACTATGTTTATTCCTTAAAACATAATTTTTAGTACAAGTTGTTTTATGTTCTTTTCATTTATAGCTTGACACCTTTAGAAGTAATATTGATCTAGCTAAGGAAAGTGTGAATGATGAAGCAATTATAAACAACACGTATAATCCTGAAGAAGAGAGTCCCCGATTTACAAAAAATAAGCTGAGAGAGAAAGCCTCACTTGCAGAGAAAATAAACAATGATATTGTTAGTGAAGAGCAGGCGGACAAGCAACAAAAGTCTAACAAGAAGAAAAAGAAATCACAGTTACAAGAACAATTTAATGAGGAGGAAAATTTATATGAAGCTAAATTGGAGAGTTTTGAGAAAAAGATTAATGATTTTCCAAAGAAGAAAACAAAAAGTAAATCACAAACAGATGTACCTCATCAAGAAAGTGATAGGAAGATTAAAAATTCCTTGGCTGAAGTGAGAAATGTAACTGACTTAGAAGAGGAAGAAGAGCTAATTCGAGCCTATCAGCTGCATGTGACAGAGGATGAGGCAAATGCAATTAAAAAGAAAATAAGAATGAAACTTAAAGAGCAGATGTCTGAATTTACCTCCACTGTTCAAAGCCATGAAGTTTTATTGAACAATGAAGTGGGCAAAAAGAAGAAAAAGAAGAAAGAAAGAGCAATTTTAAATGAAGCTGAAACAAGGTACCATGATAATCTCTATACTGTGTGTCTGTAAACCTTGGATGAAATATTTCATTTTAAGATAGGCAGAAGCTTTCCGATAAATTATACATATTTTCTAAGTGATGAACTGGTTGATTCTGTTATGAAAAAATATTACCAAATACTTTTTCAAAATGCTATCTGTTTAACTTTTCATTACTGTCTGATGTTTATTTTCTGTGGAACTCACTCTTAACTAACTTAATTTTGTGCATGTCTTTAGTGATAAGCGATGGTCCTGATCCAGCAAAAGTGTTAGATTATCTCTATGCACAGGAAAGGTTCTGCAGTTATCTGGAAATTAGGGGGAAATGAAGGGGGAAGAGAAATAAAAGAGGCAAGACACTAGTGTTGAGTGTGTGTGGTACATTTGAGAGACACACAGATGAGTTGCACAACTAAAGAGGAAATTTGAAGTAGTAATGAGCAATTGTATCCATATATGCAGTAGAATGCAATTGTTGACAGTAATCCATCACCTTGCAGTGCAATGTCCCTTTCTGAGCTACAGCATCATCCAACAGAAGAAAACAAGTCATTGGAAAGAGTACTTACATCAGAAGGACAGAAACCGGAGGAAATTGTGGAAAAACAGAAACCTAAGGCAAAGAAGGTTAAAAAGAAGACCCGAAAAGGTCTGCCACCAAAATGTTAGAATCGTGTGCTGCTTTATCCAAGATTCTCTTTCTGCTACAGAAATATTTGCCCATAGTAGTAATACAGAAGTGATTGAGCTGTTGAAGTTCTTTATGTTTTAGTTTCTTAACTGTGTTTTTGTTCTTCCAATTCTGACTTTAATTTATAAGGAAGTTTCTTTGATGTATCAATCTAAAATCCTGAGAATTCAATTACTATAAATATTTTTGAAATTGAGAAATAGTAAATTTTTTTAAGTATAATAATACATACATGTATATTCTAATTATCTTTTTATTATTTTATAGTTTTTATTTGTTTTGTGCTGTAAATTTTCTATTAGCCCTGCTTTAACTTGATATTAAATTGACTACTTTTTCATGCAACATGTAATCAAATTGGAGAATTAATTTCCTCAAATATTGTGGAGGCCAAAATAAGAAGTTCGTTTGAAAAATGGAGATTACAGAAATTGGTGAAGAGCAGACCTTTTGATATCTGTTTAAGTATGATGATCTCACTGTAATTTGTAAATGAGAAAGTTGTGAAAACATGGTTTGAAAAATTCGAGGAACAGGCACATGGAGAAAGCATCAGTTTCTGATTACCTTTTTACATTTTTCTTAAACAAACAAACAGAAACACTACTGTAGGCTGTGGTTCAGAGTAGGGTATTGAACTGTATGGATTTTAAGTCATTGTGGCATAGAAGAACCTATGTCAATCAAGAGGAAGACTCCTGTTTTTAAATAAAAATGTTTATTTATAAGAATAGGTTATATTAACATACAATCATGTATATGTTCATATATGTTTAAAATGCTGCAAATTTCATAATTTTGTTTTATTATGTAAAGAACACATTAAATATTATTGCTCTTGGTTGCTCAGAGAATACAGAACGTTTTTACTCCTTTAAACTGTCACTAGTGGAACACTGCAACCTCTACTTTGTTGCTATTTCCAGAAGGAAACACAGAAGTTACTGCAGAAAACGATGAGGAAATGAAGAATTCAGAAATTTCAAGTCAGTCTAAATTTGGTTTTGGTGATGATCTTGTGTTGGGAGTTTATATCCATCGATCTGATCGACTTAAGACTGATCTCCTGGTGTCTCATCCCATGGTTAAAATCCATGTTGTTGATCAGAGAAGTGGCTTATACGTCAAGAAGAATCAGAGGTGACTTTTTAATGCTATTTCTATTATCAGTTATTACTACAAATACGTAGACTGTTCCCTAGAAAATGAAATATAAAAATAATACTGAATTTTAAGTTTGGGAGGTCATTTATTAGTTTTTACATCTATGATAATGCATATATATGCCTAGAGTATTAAATTAGGGTGGGATTTTTCTTTTTTGGCACACTTAAATGTCTTCACTGCTGCATTGCTCTCGAGGTCCCTGAATTTACAGCACAGTTCATTCTGTATTCTCTCCAAAGAGAAAATTTCCTAAATCTCAAAAATATATAGAAACCAAGACTAGAATAAGCTTGTGGCAGAAATAGTGGCTGCTTTTTCTTTTTTATAAAAGAGCTTTTAAAATGCTGAAATAAAGTTTAGTTTTTCATGTTTCTAATTGCTTCAATTACTGTTTCCACTGCACTATGCATAATTTTCCTGAAATCCAAATTTTAAGTGTCTGAACCATAGATTCTACCATAATCCCTATGCATAAATTTGATAACAGTAACTTGGTTGCTGGGATTTTGAATTTCAGTATGTAGCATTTCTATAAACATTGCAAATTCTCTTAAATTTTGCGTGATTTTAGAATTTTCTTTCCTAAAATTAACCAAGTGTATCTTGTATGTTTCTTTGTTTCCAGTAGTTGAGAAATACTGTTTTGTTTGAGGTTTTTTTTGTAAGGTGCTATAACAATTGTAACTATTTGGAAATTTTCAAACAGCAAGAGGAAAGTTTCATCTTATTATGAACAGGAACAAATAGAGCACATTCTTCCTATTATGACACAACCATATGACTTCAGACTGTCTAAATCAACAGTTCCGGAATGGGAGGAGCAAGTCATATTTAATGAGCGTTTTAGTTATTTTATTCAAAACACTGAAGAAAGCCCTCTGGTAATTCTGTTTTTTGAGGTAAGGTTAAGTACTTTACATCTAGTTTTTGCACATTATGATTTTCAGTTTTTTCAGCAGTATATATTTGACTGATTCAGATGTTTTATTTCAGTTATATTGAGTTAATTAATAGTGTAATAAGATACAGAATTGAGATACCAGAAAGTGGTATTGGTGTTTGCTAATACTAACAAGTATTTTTAATCGCAAAAAAATCCAAACATGTTTTGATAGTAGTAAGGAGGACAAAGTTTTCTTATTAAATCGACAAACTTCTGAGAAAGGCTGATAAGATCATTCCAGATCTGGAGGGATGGCACCATGTATAAAAGATATCACTTTTTCCTTTTTCACATTCTCAAAATCTGAAAAGAATCTTAAGTACCAGTAACTCAAAGATGGAGTTTGCCCGCTTGTAGCATCACCTCTTTTCCCTTGTATGAGTGAGCAAGCTATTGCATTGTTTTCTGTTAACATTTGAGACATCTACTTCTTCTCTCCTGTCCTTCACAAAATAGTTATTAATTTGTCCTCCAGTATGATTATGTTTAAAGGAAAAATTATAAGGTTTATATTCAATATGTTTTGGAGCTTAAGTATTTTAATATTTGTAAAGAGAGATTCTGTAGTATTAACATTTTTATTCCTCGTTTTATATATTTCAGATTTTATATACAGTATCATCTTATATTTCTTTATGTTCTGAGATACTCATAATTTAACACATTTCTAAAATTAGAAGTCGTTAATTGTTTACCATAAAAGTAATTTCATTTATATTGAAAGATTCTTCATGGAAATCTTGCTAATGTTGGGACCAAAACATGTTGTTGGACTTCAGTGCAGCTTATGAAGTATCAATGATTCCAAGTTTTTTTTGTATACCTGATAGAACTCCAGGAGTGGCTAAATGTGTCACTGACCAGAGAAGTTAAGAGTTTAATGGACATCTTTGGAAGTGTTTGAAGTCAGGTTTGACAGGGCTTGGAGCAACCTGATCTAGTGGAAGGTGATGCTGCCCGTGGCAGGGAGGTTGGACTAGATGATCTTTGAAGGTCCTTTCCAACTCAGACTGTTCTAGGATTGATTCTATGACATAAGTGATAAAGCTTGGAAAGGAAAACTAACTTTTGCCTGCTGGTTTCCAGCTAGATTAACATAGAGCTGGTTTTGACTGTCAGATTTGTGATCTATATGATTTGTAAACTATATAGGATTTATGAAATTCTACATGAGTATTTTCCTCTTTCACTGAGACAGAAAAAAGTCATAACTATTTTTTAAGATCAGACTCATCAAGTAAATGCATAAGGATCTGTTATTTTTAATTGCATACGTGTATGAAAGAAGTACTGTTTTTATAAAATTGAAATCTGCTTAATTTACTGGATTGCATCTAGCATATTTTTTTATTTTTTAACTACCATGAAGTATGTATTCATTGCTAATATCTTTATATATCTACCATTGCTTTCAGATCGTTGATTTTCTAAGTGTGGATGAAGTGAGAGCCAACTCTCATGTACAAATTCAGGAATCTGGTTTCCGAAAAATTTGTTGGGCATTTCTAAAGGTATTGTAAACATTGAAATGAAGAAATAAAATGCATAAATATTTTTATTAAATTATCTAAAAGACACTAACCGTACTAAGTGGGAGAACACTTTTTTTAAGTTTCCAGGCAACGAAGATGGAAAATCAAATCCTTGCTTACTTGGCTGTTCTCTCCTTTCCCCATACAATTTACAGTAACAAGCTTGACAGTAAGGAATATATGTTTTTGAAGAAAGTATAGCATGTGTAAGAGTTTTTGTTTCTTTTGTTCCTAAAATACAGGAGGTTTTATTTGAGAGTTTCCTGTGTGTTCATGAGATTGTCTCTGCAAAGGAAAAGACAAATCCACTAATTTCTGTACTTCAACTATTCTGTATCCTAGCGGCATTTTCAGTTGGCCAGTCGTTTCAAAGACTCCCTTGCCTAACGATAAAATGCATGTTGTTTTAAGTTGCAGAGTTTGAAATGCTGCACCAATGAGATACAGATAATTTATCCAGTACATCATGTACTTGCTGACAAGCTTTAATTTGACTGAGGATTGTTTATTTACACCTACCCCTATGGACAGTAGATCTTGACAGCTATTGAGCAGTCCACCACATGAGAAATACGGAAGATAATGGACTGCAAGTTTAGGGCAAGGGAGAGGGACCTCTATATCATTCCAGGCTGAGGCTCTTCTCAGCTCTGCCCAAGATGAATCTACTGGAATTGGAGGTCTGGTATCCTGTGTCTGGGTATGTAGCAGCTAGTGAGAGCTGTGCATCCAGGCATTCAGTACAGCCTGCTCCTGAACAAAGGGAAGGATGAATTTCCAACTTGTGAATACAACTGTGGCCTGTCCTTCATTCCTACTGCCTCTCTCTGTGTTACCTTTTCATCTGTGTCAGTCAAAGTAAAAAGGTCCTGATAAAGAGTGGTCACTGTTAATGGCAGTAGGTGCACTTGTTTTTTGATTCACTAGAGAACTCTATTTCCTCTGAAACTGGAAAGGTTGCTGCTTTGCTTTGCCTTTTGCTCTGAGTCAAAGTCTCAGTGATGCCCTTTGCTACAGCATTCAAAGGGGACAGATTTGGAAGAAGCGCTTTGTGTATTGGCAGTCCTTTGAGATTTGGGTGATCTTAGGAAACAGTAATTAAAAAAAAATTTAAAAAATAAAAAGTAATACTGCACAGATGTTCTCACGTACAGGATGTTACTGTTGTGCATATGAACTAGGCTACCATCTAAGCTTTAATCTTGGTGATTTTATCCTGGGCATCTTTAGCACTTGCTTACTTCATTACCACTTTTAGAGATAGTATGTTTCCCCAATGGGAAGTGGATTTTAGCATTTATGCTGTAGTTGTTTAAGATATTAGAAATAATTGTTACTTATATTATGTTTGTGTTAACATAACTTTTTTTTTTCCCCTGTTTTTAATCACTCTTTCAGCTTGTAGGTACCAATGGAGTTCTAAACATTGACGGAAAACTCCGTCTGCAATTATATTACCCACCTCCAAGGACCAAGTCGCATTCAAATGTTGAGATTTATGACTGGTGGGCAAGATGTCCTAGAAATCGTTACCCATCAACTTTATATGTAACTGTAAAAGGCATAAAACTCCCAGATCATGTGAGTTAAATATATAATATATAGATATATTTACAAATATATGGACTTTTCTGTGGGAACTAGTAACTAGCTATAGTGCGTGAATGTATGTTTTTCTATGTATGTATATAAAGTCTTTACTTAAATGCAGTATATAAAATAGCTAGTATATAGCTTGCTGTAATAAGAACTTGTTCCAAACTCAGCCCTTCATAACTATCTTTGAGAAACAGACATACTTTCCTATCTGCACCTTTGCATATTTTGCCATTGACAGTCAGAAAATTTCAAGGGTACTTCCTGAAGATTGATATTCCTTCTCATTAGGAGAAATGCCATTTTAAATCACTGGACTCATGCAGGTCTGTAAATTGAACAAATGAAAGAAGGTTTAAGTCACTTAACTCTGATTCCCTGTGCCCTGAAGCTATAACGACTGGTATTTTTTTCTCAAATGTAAACTCCTTTAAAGACAAGCTTACATTGGTACGTGCTGAGATGTGCGTTCAATCTATTGCTCTGCAGCGAGAGTATAATATTGTTCTATTACGTAATTTTCCATGTGTCTTTATGGTTATCACAAGTCTTTCGTTTGCTCACTGTTCATACTCTCATGGATGATCTGTGGAAACCTGGTGAAATGTCCAAACCCAAGCTAACCTGTGGGATTAGTGCATATACTTTTGGGACATTTTCCTGATCTGTGTACTGGAATGACATCTGCAGATCCCTTGCTCAGTCAGCTGCTGAGGCTATTGGGAATTCTGTGCACTTTGCTTGACCAGCTGTGCTTCATCTTTCTGGAGGTGTTCTGAGCCTGTCTTCTACATGGTTTGAATGTTTTCCTAGTATGTTTAGGTTTACTGTTACTGGTTTATAGCTGTCCCTACTTTACAGTCCTCTGTGGTAGTTCTAGTAACATGATGAATTTGCAGAGGCTGGCTGAGCTGTTCTTTGATCCATTGGTTACTGATAGAATTTCATTCCTGTTCTGATATAGCTGGGGAAGGGACTGTTTACAAGGGTGTGTAGCGACAGGACGAGAGGCAATGTTTTTAAACTAGCGTAGGATAGATACAGATTAGATGTTAGGAATTTCTCTGAGGGTGGTGAGACACTAGAAGAGGTGGCCCACTGAGGTGGTGGAGTGTTTTGCCAATTGATTTGGGGGCCAGGAGGCAGTAGAAAGGACATGGACACCAACAAAAGACTAGGTTTATTTTACTGTCTATTTCAAGGTATTACAAGAATAAGGCAATGCACTTAGTTAAAACAATAAGCTTATTATACTCTAGTTCTAAGCAGTAAGAAGAAGCAACATAACTACATGTTAGTGATAGTAATTAAGAAAGATAAATCACCAATTGCCCTAATACTTTACCATCATCCAGATCCACAGATGCCGGGCAGCCCCGGTTGCAGCAAGGATTTGGAGAACTTGTCCCAGCCATTGGGAAGTCCTACGCAGTGCGTCCATGTGTAGGTGAGGTCTCCAAAGTTGCTGCGAGAGGGTCCAGCTTTTATACTGTTAGATAAACTCACATAACTTCAAATACAGAAACACCTGGTGTCACCCTCCCTGTTGGATTCCACCCAAAGCCTGGCCAGGGCTAAAGGAGGGATGCAAGAGAGTCTCTCTATTTTGGTCCAAGGGAGTTTCTTTATCTATCTGGGTTCTAATCACATCTTTCTAAACAAGGCCAGGCAACTTGTCTCACGGTCTTGCAACATGCTGCTAAACAAAGAGCGTTCTGATGGTTACCACTACACAATAAGCGTTACAGCAAAGCTTTTATAGATTGGCATCAGAATATATATATATTCATACTGAAATAGATTAGTAATACATTACATATGCAATTATTATTATGTGCAATTAATGCTATATATATTACATAGGTTGTTGAGTTGTGAGGTTCATCTATAGGTCAACTTTAGTTCAGGGCCTACTGTTCAGGCCCCAGCACTTCATGGAGGCTCCATCCCTGGAGATGTTGGAGATCAGGCCTGATGGGGGTTGGAGCAACCTGATCGAGTTAAAGATGTCCCTGCTCAGTGCAGAAGAGTTGGACTGGGTGACCTTTAAAGCCCCCTTCCAACCCAGTGCATTCTATGATTCTGTGATAAACACCGGATTTGGTAAGGCTTGAATTGACCTCCAGATAAGAGCCATGACTGTCAGATGGTTTCCTATGCATAGATTTCTGCTTCCATTTAAGATCTGTTACAGATCCTATCTAGTCTCCTTCTTCTCCAGGAGTGCACAGATCTCCCATACCTCCCACATGGGCTGGTAATAGGAAAATAGACATCTTAGATAAAACCAGGGGTCTTGCGTGGAAGTAGACATCTCTGTGTGTGGACAACTGATTTAAGCTCCTAAATTAGTTTCTACTTGTACAACCTCCCTTTTTAGTCACAAGAACCTATCACCCTGAAGTGAATACCTAGCAAGTGTCAGCCTGGAAGAAAACAGTAATTGTGCCTGGTGGTCAGATGTGTTTCTGAAGAGACTTATCTTAGTGAAACAGGTCAGAGCTGCAGCTGCTGCTCAATGGCCTCGGTGCCCCTCACCCCTAGGGCTGTGGGGCTGCCTCAGGGCATTAAGGCTTCCTGTGAGTTCAGGCTTGGTGTAACTGGTAGGTGAGGTCCAGTAAGTGCACTTTCAGAAGTTTGGAAAGTATATGTGTGTTACCTACCTGAATCACAAATGTAGTCAGTCCACCTTTTTTCTTTGCAGTGCTTGAGCATAGTTTGTGTGATACACAATGCTGATTATATCTTTTAGTCCAATGAGTGAATGTTGTTGCTGAAGTAGTATTTTAGTTTGGAGGTGATAGGTAAATCACTGGAACTATGTGCCATGCTGAAATGTTACGGGTTTTTTATACCACACCTTCGCCAGGTGGTAGAGTGTTACTAATTTACACTGACCTGGATACTTAATAAAAAGAGAAAAGCATCAGTTATTTAAAAAGAGGTTGATCCCATCTTATTGGCACAACTTTGGAAGTTCAGATTAATTTCTGACTTGCTGGTTACTTTAAATGAAATTTTGCTACACAGTTTTCTTGTTTTAAGCTTTTTCCAATCTCTCTTTTTCAGATATAAAAATACAATACATTTGAAAAGTACCTTTTAATCTTCTCAGATATTACACTGTTAATTTTAAAAATATTTTTTCCTGATCCTTAGTTTTGTTTGCCTTAAGGTTCCTCCTTCTCTCCGCTCTATGGTAGCTGTTCCGCAAGAACCAACTAGTGAAACACTGTGTGAACTCCAGAGAGAGGGATCTAAAAAATTATGTAAACCTTCTCCAGAGGAGAAAAAGGAACCCTTTAAATGGACAAGATTGCCTGGACAGGTGAAGAGTTTTTCTTTGCTTTTTAAAGGAAGCTAATTTAAAGATCTACTATATTTTTTATAACTTTATGATATAAGTATTATAAAGCAAGTAATACATGAAAGCAAATTTTAAAAATACTAAACAAAATACAAAATGTAAGGAACTCTCAGAAATAGTAGAGGATGTTAGCTTCTTATAAAATATTATTGATTTAAACTTTTTTTTTGTCCCAGAACAGTCAGGTATTTTTTCTTCTCCGGAATTCTCTAGGAATTTGAAAGAGTAGGGCTATTCAGGTAGTGGACCAGAAAGCAGTTCTCATATTTTATCTTAATTGGAAATATATTTTCTTTTTTGTTTTTTCTTTTTTTTTTATTTCTTCAGTTAAAGTTATTATTACAGTGTAACAGAAAAAACTTTCATTGAAGAACCTTATTAAGAAGGTTCTTGCTGACTTCATCCTAATTCACTGTAGCAATAGAAATTAACAATCATAAAAAAGGAATTTTTTACCAACTATATATAGAATATCCATGCAAAAATTTCCTGTTTTTCTGTGGAATAGTGTTAACATGAGTTCATGGTTCTATAAAGATTCAAATAATACAACATAAAAATTTGTTAACAGAGAATGTTGATTTTTACCTTGATTCCATACTGTAGTCCTTGTACAGATCTATTAAAAAAAACCACTTAAATATACATGAATTTAATGTTATTTCCAAGTGACGTTTACTAATAAGAATAAAATAATAAAGAACAGATGATACTGTTTTTGTAATGGAAATTTTCTTACCAAAAATGTCAGGATACCTGGAAGTTGCTTTTATGTTATTGTTTGTTACTTTTCAAGAAGTTGCCATTCTGAAAATCAGTGTGTCATCAAAACCAAGAGAAGTATCATCCTAACAATATTTCCGTATCATCACAGAAATAAAATTTGGGAGTTCATTTATTCTTTAGACTAGTCCATGTACATATTGAACAACTTCAGTGGCAACAGTGATGTATTTTGTGATGTGCTGTCTTGCAAATAGGTTTTAGTAAGATTAACATGACATGTAATGTCTGTTTGCTGAAGAGTATTAAAGCTGATAGGCTTGCTAAAAAATGAGTAATAGCTCAAAATTATTATTTCCTTTTTATAAAATTTTACTGTTACGTTTTTAAAGGACCACAATATCTCTGTCTCCATAGACAGATGATGGATGACATGATATTTTTCAAAAATGTTCTGTAGAATTATGAATTATTTGATATATGAATTAAATACAAAATTAATTTTATATGTGAATTGTAGCTACATGACCTGTAAATATATTTGTTCTGAGCTGAATTATTGATTCAACATTGTAGTGTTTTATTTTAGAGAGAAGTTAAATTTGTACTTACCAACAAGATGTGTTTATTTGTGAACAGCATATATTCAATTATTTCATAAGTAGATCTATTTGTATACTTTTTATATGCATATGAATATGTTCGTGCTTATTTTTCATTCAAAAATGTAAATCAGGTTTAGGCTAAGTAACTAGTCTGGATGTTTTAATTACCCTTAAACTTTGAATTTAGTTCTGGAGAAAAAGCCCTTGGGTGAAAAAAGAGGAAATACTTTGGGGGACAGGAAGGGGGCCTATAATACCTGTGCAGTTTTTTGAAATGTTTCACCTTCAATTATGTTTAAAAAAATGAAGAATTTAAATACAAATAAGGAAAGCTAAGGGTGATTTGATTGACCAAAGGTTTGAGTCCCAGTAGTTTGTCTTCTGAGTTCATGCTGCAATCATTCAGTTACTAAAAGTTGTGCCTGGACTCCTTAAACAAGTTCGATTTGCAGTCTAACTGTACAGCTTGTATTATTGGCAATAGTTATCATTAAGTGCTTCTTAAGATTAAGGTAACTATTTCAATTTTAAATTTTCTTGGGATTTTTAAACTTGCTGGTTGTCTATTATAATGGGGCAGAAATGAATATACAAACGAGAAATGGCCCAAGTTACGCAGCAGGACTGTCTCTGTTTATAAGGTTCAACTTTCCTTTTAAATTCCCTTAAATGTTAGTAGCTTTTTAAAACTCATGCATGACAGAAGCTAAGGATGTGTCTTAAGCATTTGGTAGCTAATATTCGTAACAGTGTAACCCCAATTTTTACCTCAAAAACTAGACTTGCCGCATACCGAACAAGTTTCTGTTTTCACTGCGAGGTGGAGATATGGGCTGTTTCTGTATTCGTTTCTCTCATGATGGGAAAACGCTGGCAGCAGCATGTGCAGGAAGAAATGGCTATCCCATCGTTTGTAAGTTTAAAATAAGTTTTGTTTTGTTTTGTTTTTTCCTTATAAATAGTCGAGTTTGAAATTAAAAGGCAAAAGATGTATTTTAAATTCTGTGGTTTTAAAGGTTTTGGTTTCTAATTCTAGTTTTTGTAAAATGTTCCATGCATTAAAGAGTGTTGAGGAAAATACCTTTTCTATGTTAATAGGGCCACAACTGGCTTTTCATACATGGTCATGTATAGGCAGTTCAATGGTATGAAATCACACTATTTCTGCGTAGAGGTCTAATGGAAATAATCAGTTTTTATAAAGACTGCATTTTCCGATCATAAGATTTTAAGTGAAATAACTTTTCTAGCACTCACCCCACACACTTTCTATAGGTTTTTCTCCTAACCAGTCGTGAAATTTAGATACCGGAGAAGCCCAGGAGTTCTCAGTGGCAGTCTGTTTCAAAGATTAGTCAAGTAGCTGTCAAAATTTTTAAAAAGAAGAAGAAAGTTACAGTCCTAATCTGGTTCTAATAATTGAAAGTAGGCTGTTGCTTAAGTTTTGGGTCACCTGTGACATTCATGAACCACTAGATGGAAGTATATGCTTGCTGTCCATGCATATCTAGCAGCTGTTTGATCTGGTTCTCTGAAAATGAGAAGGTAATGAGTTGACTTACGCTAAAAGAAACTTAGCCTACGATTACACTAAACTTTGCATGTATAATTGCATATAACAGATTGCAAATAGTTAATTTTTTTTCTGTTTAAACTTCACTAGTGTATGAAATTCCTTCTGGACGGTTCCTGAGAGAGTTTTATGGTCACTTTAACATAGTGTATGATCTTTGTTGGTCAAAAGACAATCAGTACCTTCTTACTGCATCCTCTGATGGCACTGTCAGGTCAGTATGTTCTGGCAGGTAGCATTAGAAGCAGAAAGGAAAGTAGTCCACTTTTATGTCTTACTGCAAATTGTGCGGTAATGTTTTAATTAAAGATTTGATTACAGTGTGACTTTATATTAATATAAAAATTGTGATGGAATTTATTTGCACTATATTTACTATTTTGGTTACTAATGTATATGTTTTTGAGACTAAAGCTTTTCTAAAAACTAGTCTCTAAATCTGCAGTGCAGCAAAAAAACAAAAGCCTTTATATTTCAGAAAGTCACTGAGATAGTTTGAATATTCCATCATTGGAGAAATAGCCCTATTATAAATGCAGTATTAAGTTTGCAAATTTGAAAGTGGTGTAGGAAATTGAAAATTTCAATTATATATAGAAATTGGCCACACGGCACATATGTATGTATTTTTTTTAGGGTTGAGGCACTTAGTTAAATAATTCAACTCAAATGGCTGTAAATGAAATTTGATAGTGTCATTTCTGAGGCTGAATGTGTACACATTTTCCTCTAGAATTAAAAAGTCTCCCTCAGTGCGGTGCTAATGTTAGAATTCTAATCTGTTCAAGGTTTAAAAGCAAAACCCTCAAAACTGGAAATAAATGAAAATATGGCTGTGACTGCATAATTTTATTACGAGGAACTTCATAGGTTTTCATAGACCGTTGTTTTTTTTTTAGCTCCACAGATGCCTATCTGTTGTTTCTGTTATGCAACTCGGTAATGCTACAGGCAGTTGCATAATTGAAATGCCAGGAGAATTGTTAAATGATATATTGTATGTGTGGCACTGTTTTGCCTTTTTTTTTTTTTTTTCTGCTTGCATGTAGGCATATTTTGAGAGCCTAAAACCCATGTTTTAATTTTTATTTGGAAACAGATTAAGTAAGAATTTTGCATATTGAAGTAAATGTCGATTTCAGTCAGTTGTGTTACCTATAAGAAGGCCCAGCTGTTCCTCAATTATTGAATTTGTGGCAGCAAGATGAAACTGTAGTGGTCTGCCTCCTTTTCTGTGTACTATGCATAGTGACTGCATGAGTTATTACTTGCTGTATTTGTTGTCTGTTGCCTTAAGCTCCTTACAAATCTCAGTTTATGCAAGGAATTTCTTCTTTTCCCCTTTCATATTGGGAGCACTTTGCCATTGAAACATGGAATTGAAGGATGAGGACCAAAAGGCAGCCCGTTGCTGCCATTATCAGTTTATGACTTGGATCATCTCTCAGATTGACTTCTAAGGCAACCTGAAGGGAAATTTGGGAATTCTTCTTTATACAATGTGTTATGTTACCTGTGAGCCTTCCCAAGCTTTAGTCCCATGTTATTTGTGAGCAATAAATCAACTGTTATGTTTTTAGAGCACAACTGTTCTAAAAGATTAGTAGGCTTCTTGTGACCCTTGCACGTTAAGTTGCAAGTTAATCACCCTACCCTGAGGAATTGCAATTTTGTAATGAACTCACCTTGAGTAAACTTAGAATTTATCAGTAGCCACCAGAAGGAGGCACCCCACCTGGAAGGGTATCACTCAAACAATTGAATTCCATGCAACTAAGCGCTCTGAAATGTGCTGCCCAGCTGTATTTCATGATCGTTGTACCATTCTGTTCTTTATGGACTCATCTTTGGGGAATGTTCAATAATAAAATGTATGACTTCAAACAAATAACACTTCCTAAGAAAAACGTGATCTTACAGCTATGTAGCTGTGGGTGGTGAAGGATAGGAAATAGATGAATAATAAGATCTGAATTTATGTGAAGAAAAAACTCTTGAGATCACAATCACTGTGTGATAGGTAATAGTTTCTTTAAAACATTCTGGTTTTTTATTTATATTTAGTGGTCCTAAATGTTCCTTTGTGGTTTTTTTTTTTTTGTTCTACCTTTTTTTTAAAAAAAAACCCCACAAATGATACCCCAGAAGGTCTTAATACCTCAAAGAAAGAAACTAATCCATTCCATAGAATTCTTTATGTGTATTTTAAAAATGTGCAAAATGGCCATTAAATTGGAAAGTGGTCATGAATTTACTTTCAAGTAAATAGCAAATATATCTTAATTCTCGTTAGAAAGTACCATATTAAAGGATTAAATATAGGTGGAATAAATTGGTAGGATCAACAGATAGTGTTAGGTATTTATAAGCATTTGCCTCTGGAACCACTAACACAAAATATGTGTTATACCTGTGTATGCAGTTGTTTTATACAGTAGATATCTTAACATCCTTTCCTTTTAGGATGTGGAGAATAGAAATGCAGGCAGCATCTGCAGTGAGAGTTTTCCCTCATCCTTCATTTGTTTACACTGCAAAGTACCACCCAATTGCTGACTCCTTAGTCGTGACAGGGTGTTACGACTCAGTGATTAGAATTTGGAATGCAAACGTGAAAGAAATCCACGGGCAGCTGCTCCAGGAGCTTGATGGTCACAAAAGTTTCATCAACACACTTTGCTTTGATGCAGAAGGTATGTATTTAGTATGACTTTTTCAAATAGTTTTCTGTTTAGCTGAAGACCAACTTGAGTATCACTAGTTTGCTTTATTTCATAGATGCAATATGAAATGCTGAAATAGAATAGTTGTAGCTTTGTTTGAAATTAATACGTTAGTATGATACCTTACATGGATGAACACAGGGAGAAGCAGTCCCTGATAAGAAGTGAGAATAATCGGAAAAGGTAAGTGTAGAAAGGACAGGCAAACACGGCGCGTAGTGATCAGGCGATGATGACTGGGCAAATTTTGGTAATAGTTTAGTTTTCATTGTCCCTATGACTAGCTATTATTAGCTAATGTTTTTTACATATTGAGCAAAAAACAGCACAGATGTTACTGTTCAGAGGAGACAAATGCATCAGGATGCAGGTGAAAAGCCTTACAGTTAGTGTAGAGATAAGTTGGAAAAAAGGCAGATTTGGCTAGAATTCGTCTAGGTTACTTAAAGGTAACTTAAAAGCAGAAGCAGCAAATCTTGAAACTGGCTTTTAGAGAACTCTCAGAACAGAACTTCAGAAAAGAAGATTTCATGATTGGAACAGTAGCAAAAATGGTTCAAAGTTGTCAATGCAGTGCAAAGGTAAAGAAAATGAGGTAGCAGTAGTTACATTGTGAGAATTTTAATGCTAGACTGAAGATGTGGGAGGGTAATGAACTCAGCATTGGCAGAGAGTGTGGAAAGACTGAGAAGAGGACAGAGATTTGATCACTAAATAAAGGTGACTGGTAGATTAACAGCTGAAAGTGAGCAAGAGTGAGCTGAAAGTGAGTGAAGTGATGTGTACTAGTGGAGGGGAGGAAGTGTTGAAGATGGATGAATGAATAAGATACATGGAAGTGTTTGAATTTTTCTGGTATTAGTGGCATTGTTAGTAATTAGGTGGTTCATTTTTGAAGGTATTCACTTAAGGTATTCACAAAGCGGAAGGAGGTGCATCTTATAAAGAATAAGTATTTGTGAATAGTTTTAAAACAACTGTTGGAAAACAGTATTTGTTCTTGTTCGAGTTGCTCTCAGTGCATGTACAGGTAAGTGTTAGGCTATCACGTGAAGCTCATTGAGCTATAAATGCTCATTTCTTGCTAGTTCTAGAGTATGAGTAAACATGAAAAAACTTAAAAGGAATACTCAGCACCCCAGTATCTGACTTACATGCTGAATCCAAATTTATGATATCAACTGATTTCATGCAATATGAGCAAAATGTATTTGCAATGAGTAGGTCATAGTAAAAGAGAAGAATTGATGTTCACATGCTAAGAAAACAATAGATAAAAGTTCTTTCTTGTTCATACATTCTTTTCTGTATTCTTTTTTGTCGTGTTCTTCTTCTTACAAGATGTTACTGTTTCACAGGTCTCCACATGTTCTCAGGAGACAGTTCAGGACTGATAATAGTTTGGGATACATCTGTCAAAGGAAGTTTTCAACACTGGAGGATTAGTAAGGTATACAGGTTTCTTAAACTAGCATTGTAATTTTTATGTTAACTGTTCCAAATCTGGTGATTTTATTTTAATTAATTATTTTTTTGTACATTAACTTGCATTTAACTGAGGAGATGTATTTTCTTTAAATAATGGTGCAAAAGAGCTGATAGAACATGCTGTCATTCGCTGACTTAAAATTTGTTAATTGCTTTGCAACTTCAATTTTTGTATATAAAACATGAAAATGTTTGAGGTTTAATAGCGTTGTATTAGCAGATATGTGCTAATACATTAGGTTTGTTCTCTAGAGACAACAATAAAATAGGCCACAGGCTTTGCAAGTCACCTTTGTTCATACCGTAGAGGCCTAATGTTCAGTCAGCATTTTTATCTTCAGTTGTGTTTCAAGAAGTTCAGAGTCCCAGCAGAATTTACCTTGTGATTGTCAAAAGTTGCCTGCATAGAATGGTAATGCCTTAATATAGGAATAAAATTTTTCCTTTACCAAATAGAATGAAGTGAGCAGAAAAAGTAATGCAAGAATGAATAAAATGGAATAATGGTGTGTGGAAAAAAAAATAGAGTTTTAATACATAGAAGTTTTGTTGTTTGTGGTTTGGATTTTTTTATTTTCCTTCTTTCTGTAGGAAATACAAGAAAATGATCTTAAAGGAACACCAGTAAATCATTTGGAGGTGCATCCAAATGGAAGGCGTTTATTAATCCACGCCAAAGACAGTACCCTGAGAATCATGGATCTCAGAATGTAAGTAGATATTTTTTAGTAACAAGTATATATTTCCTTTTTTGTTTTAATATTCACTTGGGGAAATAAAGTACCATAAAACTATTAAATCTATAATTGTGGAGAAGAAAGATGTCCTAATACTCAAGGATAGCAGTATTAGGGTTAGGAAATAGTTTCAAAACACTGCTGTATTACAGACCTTTGGTGTGATATTGGGTAAGTCTTTTACAATAGAATATCCAAAAATTACTAGATTACTTGGGACCTTAAGGTGGAATGAAGGGAGAAGACACTAGTCTCCTAAAGATTGAATTCACTTTTAAAAATGCAATCTGGAAATGAAAATAAGTTTGAAATTACAACATTTGTTTGTGCATTAGTTTTTCTTTGTTGATACTCTGGAAGGAATATTTTGATGCTAAAATGGAATGAATACTAAAAAATTCAGTGTTGTATGTATTAGAGAATAGAATCATAGAACAGTTTAGGTTGGAAAAGACCTTTAAGGTAATTGAATCCAGCCATTAATTATGGTATATTAAGCAGATTATGAGCTATTTTTAACTTAGTTTTTGATGGTTTTTCATTTAAAAAATTATGAACATGATTCTTTAATAATAAGCTACAGTTCAATACAAGGGGATCACAGAATTACTTGAGTCGTTGAGTTGGAGAGTGTCCGGTCCAACCCTAATAATCAAAGCATGAAGGCATCTTTCTCGGAGCTTTGTCCACTTGAGTTTTGAATATCTTGGATGATGGCGATTTTACAACCTCTGTGAGCAACGTGTTCTAGTGTTCATTCACCCTCAATGTAAAAGAATTTTTTTCTTGATTTTGAGCAGAATTTCCTGTATATCAATTTGTGCCCTTTCCCCCTTGTCCTTTCACTGGGTGAAACTGAGAAGAGTTTCACTCCTATGAATTACGCACATTGGTAAGATGCACTTGATCATTCTCTTCCAGAAAGTCGCAATA